TCCTTGGGAGAAAGAACAGAAAACTTGTGTGACTTTCTCCAGTGTTTGTTGTGTGGAGCAGAGAAATGAGATTGTAGGATATTTTTTTCTATTGCAACATTGCTGAGGTATATCTGGGTGATGCCTTGTACTTTTCTATGTCTTCAACTCTTCTTCTTTTAGAGACCAAATAGCTTATGTTAAAGAGTCTATAAATTTGACGATAGGCCAAATACTGAAAATGTGCTGGTTCTCTAGCCTCTCAAGCTTCTAAATTAATTATTAATTTGTTATGTCACATGCTGAACTCCTGTAAACATTAGGGTGTGTAACTTCTGATCTAGATAAAAATCTATCACTGGATCAGGTCAGAGCACCAGAGAGCTAATTACCTTAGCCTCACTGTTTTAGTCCCCAACAGACTGTGAGAAAGCCTAATTCACTTGTTTCCTTTGTAAAGGGCTGGGGGAAAGGTCACTCTGGCTGCAGTCTCAATAATAAACTGCATGTTTCAGGGACAAGAAGGAGGTGGGAAGGGTATGAGATAATGTAGACTTGGAAGTTTGCTGGTCACAGTACAGATGGAGACTAGTCAATGGATACACCAAGCTGTAGGGGTGGATGGCTTGGTGATGAACTAAACAGGAATTTGAATGCACTTCCAGAATTCTACCCATCAGTAATTCATTGGGTTGGCAAGCTTCTGTAAAAATGCAAATACATTTAAGAGGCTTCTGAGAACTGTGAGGGTGTAATTTAGTCTGCATTAGTTCCATCAGCTTACTTTCTGCTATCACCTAAAGAGATGAATTTTGCTTGGAGAAATAATTTTTTGCATAAAAGATATAATCATGTGCCAGGCAGAAGGTGGAAATCTTTGGAAAGATGGAAACATGAAGGAGCCTACAGGAGACACAGAGATGGGTGGCAGCATTTGAGAACACAGAGAACAAGCAAACTTTGGCCTTCTCTGAAAGTTTTCTCTGATTACCTTGTAAAAATAAATCCCCTATCTTTAATACTAGGAATGTCCTTTTTCTCGTAATCTTGTTTAAAGGAAGACATTCCTCCAAGTTATAGCAAAGGGGAGGTAAAAAATTAAAGCAATAAAAATCTTCAAATGGTATTAAGCATTGACAATTTTCATGTTGCTTTATTTAAATTCAAGCTAGGCCACCTGATTCCCTGACAACATTTCACTGCTTTCGTATGATAAATAGGAATTTATAGACATGGAATATTAAAAACAATCATCAGTGCCATGTAAGATAAATAGCTATTATTGGTCAATGTTTAAAAATAAGTTTAATTATGTTATTTCAAAGATAGGTTTTATATTTGGTAGTAAAGATCTATAATTTTTTAAAGTCATCTTGTTTAGATACAAAAAAAGGCATTAAATTTTATTTATTGTTTTCTATTTTCCATATGTACTCACTAAGAAAATGATGACATAGATCCTAAAATGTTCGAAATGCTACCTTTGAGTACAAGTTTGGGTACATTTCAAACTTCATGTGAAAATCAGTGCTCAGAGCTAACACTACTGGAAAAAATGAGTAATAGCCAAAAATTTGACTTACTCCTAACCCTGACTTCTTGGATGATGATGCTGCATAAAAGAGAACAAAAACAACAACTTACAACCCAAATAAAACAGTTCTCTGATGTTTTATTTTATACTTATATTTCAAATATGGAAAAGATATCCTTTTTATGAAAAAACCAGACTTAGTAAAAAAAAAACAAAAAAAACACACAAAACATTAGCAAAAAGTTTGAGCCAACTAAAAATTTATAAAACTTTTTTTTTAAAGCAAAGCATTAAATGGCAAGATAAAAATAAATTTTTGTGTAAGCCCGTAAAAATTCCCTGGATTTGTTTGTGCCTTTCAGTGTGAGTTACGAGACTGATGGCAGGTACACTTTATTTAGCTTTGGAGTGGAACGGACTGTATTAGTCTTACGTGTTGTCTTCAAGCATGCCTCCTCCCCTGGCCCAAATTCTGTCCTGCCACACTTGCAGGATCCCAACCACGTTTACCAGTGTGATCATCCCTCACTTCTCAGCATCTCTGTCTCTGCCTGCTGCTTAAGATAAAACCTGGGATAGGACATCTGTATGAGAAAAATGCAGTGAATCATGGAATCTCAGCATTATCGATCATTGCCAAACATTGTATTTTTGTAGGTAAGAAAACTGAAGCACAACAAGGCTTTAAATCTTGCTCAGAAGTATACCTTGATTAAGCTTCAGAGCTACAACTTGTGAGGTATTCTTCTCTGAAACTATTTGGAGACATTTCTCCATGAATCTTTTACATTTCTGCATATTTTGCAAAGAGAGGCACTAACAATCTTTGTTCTGAACTAATTTTTCAAAGACATTTATAAAGCAGATAGCTTTGAAGTATAAAGATAGTGTCCCACTCCAAAGCAAAGAAGAGGTTTCATCCAGTATTACACAAATAATGTCTACCTCTGGGGCAAAAGGCAGGCATGCTCACTGCCCACTATAAAACAGTCAAACTCCCCAAGCTCAGTTCCTCTTGAACGACAAACCACTAAGTATACAAGTGTCACCTACTCTCTTCACATCGCCCTGTGGAAACTGAAATTCAGTGAACCAAGGCAAATTCTGATAGTCTGCCTACTACTGTTGCTGTAAATAATAGAGTCATTTGTCTCAGACCCAGGAGCCTCATGTCTTCTGCCAGCATCCATGAAGCTATGGCAGGCTGACTTGTGAACTTGGAGGTGGGAAGAAATCTCAGACCCTTCATAGTTTTTGACAGAAACATAAATTTATAGTAAACATCAATCATCTGAAGAGAGAAAATACTAAGTATTGAGAGGCCTGTTGCTTGATTTTTAAAATCTAGGATGATTCAGTTGCCAGTTTTTGAGCATTATGTGTTAGGTATAATATATAATACTATTTATTCTTCAAATCAAATTATACACACACATATACACATACCTATGGAATCTACTTTTTAAAAAAATTTAATCTATGAAATGGTCTCATTCTCATTTTAAGATTAAAAAAACAAAAACAAAAAACTAACACCCTGAAATTATGTCACACAGCTAATAGTTGGCAGAGCTAAAAACTCTGGCTTCAAAATTAGTGTTTTGCTTACTTCCAAATAAAACACAGCTTAAAATGGCATGGGCCATTTTGGTTTTAAATAAAACGACTGTATTATAACATATTGTGTTTAGGTTTACTACTTTACCTTTGCAGTAGTACTGACTGACGCTACAAAGAGGAATGACAGGTCGCTACTAACCTCTATCCAATATGAAATATTCAGTATTCATAACAAATAAAATGTTTTTAATTTTGTGAATACTGACTTTACATTATATGCTGTATATTCATAGAAAATGTCTACAAGTTATTACTTAAAAAGATTAAATCATAAAATAATGCTGTAGACATATTCTTTTAAAGCTATGCATCTAAGAAAACATGACAGGAGCAATAATTCCATTTAAAAGGTTATATATTCTATAAAACTATCTCGTTAGTCACGGAGATAAGTAGAAAATGACACACTAGACAGAGTGGAGAAAGGACTACATATATTTGAAACTTATAGATGTTCCTAAGAATAAAAAAATGTTTAAAGCAAAAGAAAACAGAAAAAATGTCTTAATTTTGTGGAAGCAAAATATAAAATATCAACTTAAGAGTTGTTTGGGAAATTTTTTTAACTGGTAATCCATTTCTGGCTATAAATGGGCATTCATTCTTGTGATTCTATTCTAACTCCAGTGCTAAAGAAACTGAATGTTCTGGGTCAACCATTTTGAAATGTAAATGGCAGCAACAACAATAAAAAACTTAAAAATATGTAGGCACTCTTCATAATGTAAATAATTCTTTTTCAAATTACCTTAACTGTTTTTTTTAGGCATGTATTAGTAGTGTATTAATGGAAATAATTATTTTACTTGCTCCTCACAAAAACCTTTTTTTCATTAAATAAAAAACTATCTAGCTGATGTTTACAAAAGCAAAACAAGTTTAGAATTATGGAGTCAGTTACAATTGTGATGTAAAACAATAACTACAGAACCAATTTACGCAGTTGTCATTTTCGATGAGTATCTTTAATTTAAAAAGTTTAATTCCTGATTCATTTTTATTTTATTTTAAACCTTGGTAAACAACAGCAGAAGACTGTAATCTTTATAATGAAATGTACCAGTGTGGTTAATGTTTGGTGTGGAAGCAGAAACCCTACAGAAAGGCTGATGGGTTAAGATATCAGTTTTCTGATTTTACTGGCACACAAACTAATAAAAAAGTAATAAAGCTATGTGGATCTAACTTTCAATTATATAGTAAAATACTTTCTAGGGGCATAGCTGTTGTTAAACATTAAATGGGTTTTAAACTAGAAATCTGAGGAAACATTTCACTGATGGGTTTTAAAATAGGCTATAATTGTATCTATGAGGACTTATATAGCATCTGATGTTTTTTTCCACTCCAAGAATTTATGAGAAAACAAGATGGTAATTTTTACCTCAAATTTCTAATGTTGTCAAGACACAATTTAGCCATTCAGTATCCTGTCTTAACCACACAGACAAATTGAAAGGATTTCAGAAAGAAGAAACACATTTGTTATAATGAAAATCACTCGATCATGAGGAAATATGCTTTTTAAAAACTTTGTTTTACATAATTAAGAAATACTATAATAATTGCTTTTAAAATAAAACAGCAGTTATTTTAAAGGCAAACACATAGGAAGGAAAGGAATAGTCATCTGAAAAGTCAGAAAGCAAAACTAAAAGAAATAATATTAATGTTATTCCTGTATTCCTTATTATCAAGTTCTTCCCAATGGCAAAACCTTGTGGATTCTGGTAGATTTGTGATAGTGGAATTGATAGACAAAGGAGCTTAATATGCTGATGTGAGATCTCATCTTGCCAGTTGGTGTCTGCTAAGGAAGCCTACATAGCTCTCATGTTTATGCATAAGGAGACAAAAGAAAGATTACCTGGAAATCTTCTAATTATTTGACATAATCCTTCCTTTCTGCAAAGCTGATGCTGTATTTCTGGTAATATGTTTACCTGAGAAGAATGAAAAAGATTCTAGTAAGTTGGGCATTCATAAATGCTAACGCAAAGGAATGCAAAAACCCAGAGGGTATGTAGGTGTGAAGTATTGTCTACACCATCCACACCCTACCCTGCAAGTCAGATCTGGAATAACAAAGTGGTTTATAAATAACCAAAAATAAAAAATAAAAAAAATTGCCCTTAGAAATCTTCAAAATATTTGGGAATACTTTTGTAAACCCCGATGTATTTCAAAGCCATAACATTTGCTAGAAATAAAAGGCAATACTTATGTCCTTATTGAAAATAGAGTAACACGAATAACTTGATAGTTACAAATTCAGCTTTGGCAAAAAAATAGTACCAAACATATCTCAAAGGCAACTAAACTCCCAAGTTCCAAAGGCCCTCAGTGTCTTGAATCATTGACATTAAGTAGAAATTCAGTGCTAAACCCGTTTCAAAAATTCACAGTCTTCGCTTCATACTGATGGGCATTCTTGCTTCCAAATATAAAGCCTGGTCACCACAAAACTCTATTTTTACAAAAACTTGACCTTAAAAAACTTCATAAATATTATCATAAGTTCAAATATATACTTTAACTTGCAAAAAAAGATATAAACAAGCTAATCCCTCTTCTGAACTTACAGATTGGTTAACTATTAGCAAAAAAATATCAAAAATAATGCCGACTACAGTAAAACCTTGTTAAAACCAACAGAAAGAGATCAATGTAAATTAACTTAAATATCAGATTCACTTTTGAACCACTATTGATCACTTTCACTCTAAATTAATAAAATTTTGTAATTTCTCTACTGTGTCCTGCTGGCGTGACAAGAAAAAGAAGCCAGCTGCAGTTGGAGAAAAGAGAGGGAACCAGAAACACGGGTTGTAGACCACTTCGGGCACTTAACACCAGCAGCCTTGAGCATATCACAGCACATCGCTCAGCTTCTCTTTCTCAGGTTCTCCATTTGTAAAGTACAGCATTTAGAGCCTTTTGGTCTAAGTTCCACTTCTGCTCTAAGATTTTGTCAATTCAATAATTCAATCATACTTGCAGTTTTTAAAAAATTATTTTATTTAAAGTGCTCTGAAACAATGCATCAATTAAATTTTCTCCAACCCTTGCAATCCTGTTAACTACTATTCATTTACTCAGTAAACTGTAAACTGCAGCCCGGGTCACGCAGGAATGAAGCCCGGGCTTCAGGAGAACCCACTCTGTGACTCTGCACTAGCAACATTCCTAAATGCTTCATTTTGAAAATCTAGAAAGATTCCAAAGTCTGAGTCATTTACATTCTTACTGCCCTGGGAATTGAAAAAAAATGCTATAAGATTTTAGAGGTGTCTACATTTCTTAAATAAAACGGTTCAGAGACTAAATGCAAGTAAAGAAGAAGGGTTTTCATCAAGTCCTGAAGTTTTTCATTCAGAATTCGTGACAGGCTGGAGGAAGGGACAGAGCAGCACAAAAGTCTGGGGAATTTGTAACAGAGGTTTGGGGTTCTTTTCTTAAATTAACACACAAAGATTTTTTTTTTTTAATTAGATGTGAAAAGCTTCAAAAGTCCGTAAACTTGAAACATTTTCTCCCACATCAGGCAAAATCATTCAGCTGCTGTTGCTTAAATAGAATCTTTAATAATATAAAGACCCAGAAAGAGAAGTAGCATTAAGTAAGTAACATTAAAGACTATATGTACTGGCACAGGTCCAGCTCAAAACCTTCTCCCACTTCATGAAGGGCTCAGAGCAAATGTGCTGACACTGCAGATGCTTAGAGCATCTCAGGTCCCATCGTCCGCTACAAACTGAACTAATGGGCCAGGAGAATTTGTGTAGATGCTGCAAAGATGGTGTATGGCGTGTACAGGTTTCAGAGTGAAGGGTAGGTTGCTATGTCTTATCAGAGAGGTGACTTTTCATGTGAGACCTTTGGTCAGAAGGATGAACTGACTCAGGGTCAATGAAGCATTTACTTAAAAAACCAAAGCCAACCAAGAGAAGCAACTGCTCTCCTGCTTCTGCCTCCCATTTTTCTATCCCCATACAGTGACCTCTTCCTGCGCTCTTTCCTCTAAAAACTTTGGAATTCAGAGTCAAAGCAGATGACATAACCATAGTAACACATGACACTAGAAATATAATCTCCATTCTATTCTGGAGCCGAGCACCAAACTGAGCAGTTCAGCCAAATAACTCAGCACAAAGAAACACATTCAAGGTCTATGGGTCATATAAGTGTGGTAAATCAACGATTAATTACACATATTTTAACTTTTAATTGTTAAACCTAATAATGCTCTATCTTACTGGTTTTAATTCTTATTTTTATGTACTTAATAAAATTTCTAAGATTTACATCATTATCAAGTGGAACATCATCAAAGAACTTTTCATCTGTATTAGCTGACTTTCATATGATGAGACTCTCCAGCTTAATATTGCGATACTCATTTTTTAGTAGGCTTTATTTTGGGGGCTCGTTTGAGGTTCACAGCAAAATTGAGAAGATACAGAGATTTCCCACACACCCATCGCCCCCACACACGTACAGCCTTCCCCATTACTAACACCCTCCACCAGAGTGGTGCATTTATTACAGCTGATGAATCTACATTGACACATTGTAATCACCGAAATGGTCATTTCTATACCGATTTCATATTGGATTTAAAAGCTTTATAACACGCTCCCACGTGTGTGTGTGTGTGTGTGTGTGTGTGTGTGTGTGTGTGTGTGTTTTGTAGACTGCTGTTCTGATGTTTTTCTTGGCATAAAATCTTTTGTATCTTTGAAAAGATTAGAGCACATATAAAAAATAACAATGATGTTTGAGCCTGGGATATTTCTGAGATCAAATTAAGAGGAAGAAAATGTGCATTTAAAAAGATTTCAATCCCAAGGTACCTTCTACAATTCTAATCTTTGGTAATCTGTACCTAGATTGTTTTTATTACATATTGTCAGAAGCAAAAGTAAAAGAATCATTTTTATTTTGAGACACATTTTGTTAATAAAAGCAACAGCATGATATTAATTAAAAGCACTTTGAAAGTCTTTGTAAATCAAAAAGTAAAACTACAGTAATACTATTAAAGAGAATAGACTTTCGAATTTGGACTATTTATAAAGCATAAGAAAAAACTGAGGGGAAAATTTTTTTTTTAGTCACTCATGAACATTGAGAGTGATAGACACTTCACACTGCATCTTAGGGGACTGCTTTTTTTCTTTATTAGATCCGTACAGATATTCATATCTTTTATTTTATCAAAAACAGACCCTCTGAAAGCTGTTCAGTATAGTGTATAAGGAAAAGAATTAATAACAAAAAGAGGACCAGCTAATCAAAGAAAAAAAAAATCTTTTTATCCCTCATGTCTAACGTGCCATTATCATTCCAGCAAATTTACCTGAAAATGTCTTTGCATGCTTTAAAATAAGAGTCATTTCAGTAGTTCCCAGTGCCCTTACTACTAAAAACAGCATCCGGGTTGTAGAGGCTGTTAATCCTACAAACATTTAGAGTTAGAAATGAATCTCTCTGCTCTTGCAACACTAGATCCTGTCTGTTAGAGGTGAGATGTAGCCCCAGTTACTAAATTTAGTGCTATCCCAAACAGTGGACCTCACTTCGCTTTCAGCATCACATAGACCAATACAGTTTTAAATTTATGTTTCTCCCCTCTGACTAGGGAGACTCCTGACTATTCATTTTCTACAACAGATCTTGTGATCATTTTCACTAAGCACTTAAATTCCAAAGCTCTGATATGATTAATAATGTTCATTTGAGTATGTACCCTTTCTTTGTTTACTCTATAATCCCTGACAATCCTACAATATCCCCACGAAATCTGAAGCAACTTCTGTTTTGATTATTTATATTTACCTGATAAGTCATGGCTTCAAATTCTTCAAGCTCCAAAGTGACGATTATCTAACATGTATCATTTAGAATTTATTTTTCTTTAAGAATATTCATTAGAATAGGCTGTAAATTTAGTGACTAATATTTACTTAGAAATGTTCTATAGTAATATGGTTAAGAAAACAGAATTTGAAGTTGGACTGTCTGAATTTGAATCCTGGTTGCTTCATTTATTAGCTATGAGGTCTTAGGCAATTTTCTTAACCTCTCTGTGATTCAGTCTCCTCATATGCAAAGATGGACATAGATAAACATGTCAGCACTTAGAATGGTGCCTGGTACTACAGGAGGCCTTGGTAAGAGATGGGAGGCGGGGAGTAGAGAGAGGCTGAGAGCTTATCTTCCCAGCTTCCTCTCTGCCGGGCTAGGATTTGGCGATGACTAACCCTCCTGACTTTTATAGCTCCTTTTTACTGACCTCTTTTCTTGGCTCCAGCTCTCATTAGGTTCTGCTACATGATTCCTTCTACATACCCTTCTTCAGATCAGAGGTGGGTAAAATTTTATGATGTTGCTGGTTTCTGGGGGTATCTAACAATTTTCTGTTTCTCTTATCCTGCCAAAACCTCTGTAAATAGTTCCTTCATTAGTTTCTCTTCAGTTAAACCCTTTTGAGTATGGCATTTGTCTCCTGCTGGGAGATTGACTGATAGACACAAAAAGTATTATAGACTTCATCCTATAGTTGATGGGAAGCCATTCAAGATTTTAAGCACAGAAGTAACCAGGTTAATTCAGCATTTTATATTTTTCACTGTGATTACTGGGAGCAGGATAGATTTTTGGGGCAAAATGTTTGTTTTAGAAAAATCAATAAGGAGGATTCGGCAATAGTTTTGGTAAGAAATGGTGATTGTTTGACCAGAATAAATAGTTAATATGGATATTTGAGAAATCTTGAGTAGTTTGGAGGATATTTAGGAAATATTTATGAGTTAAATTTCTTCGTATTGGTGATTGATAGAATGCAGATGACAAGGGAGAGGAAGAGCGCAAAGTTCAAGGGCAGATTTCTATCTTAGATAGTGACAGTGGTCGATCATGCTTGTGACCAATAGAAAGGAAGATCTGCAGAGCCTCCAGATGCAAGAGCAGAAGCAAATTTACTGGAGAAAACAATGAGTTAGTTGTTTCCGTGTCGTGTTTGAGATGTCGGTGTGACATATAAGTGGAGATGTTCAACTGGTCTACAAGCCGGAAGCCTGGGAAAGTGCTTTAAACTTCAGATGGAGATTTGGGAACCATCGACTACAAATGGTAGTTGAAACCTTGCAAGTGGGGTAAGGGAACACAGACATTTGAGAATGGCAGAGGAAAGGTAGCTAAAAAAAAAAAGAAAGAAAACCAAAACAAAACAAAAAAACAGAAGGAATGGCTAGAAGGTACAAGAAGAACCAAAGCGCTGTGTTCAGCCCAAAGGCCAAGGGATTAAAGAGTTAAAAAGAAGAAGGAGGTATCACGACTGTCAATTGCAGAAATATCAGGTGATGGGGATTGCTACTACAGTAATATTTTAAAACTGAAAAATAGGTATTGATTTCAACACTTTTCTCATTGACTTGTTATAGGTATCAAAACCAGAGCATATGTAAATTTTCTAGTACATTGACTAGCACACTGTAGGCATTTGATAACATGTAGCTAACAAAAGCATTTATAGAAGTTCACACGAGACAGACAGTAAATATTGGATTTCAATTTTGAAAGTTAAGAAGAAATTGAATAAATTTTATTATAATTCAGGATACCAATTTTAGTTTGAAGAAGTCAAAACAGTGATCTAGAGAATAAAGACATTGCTACTTTGTATGAACATGTGGACAGGGTAAGTAATACTCCATAGACAATAGACTTCTAGATCAAGTTTTGGGTCCTACTAGGTAAAACTGGGTCCTTATTGATAGCTGAAGTTGAGGGAGATCCTATCAGACAAAAAATAGTGACCATTTTATGGTAAAGTGGATAAGACACGGTTGTTGGAATTTTCTCCAAAGATGGATCTAATTTTTCAAGTCTTTTTTTTTTAACATTATAGAATAAGAAATACAAGTAGTAATATTCATAGGGTTGATTCGATGTGCACATTTGAAAAATAATATTTACCTTTTGATGTAAACCTAACTGGCACATGTCTTCCTTTGATATGCAAGGTTTTCCACCAGCTTTCCTAGAAGGCAGGCAAATGAGCAGATCCCAAGAGCCCAAATTACCTAATAGCAAAAGAACATTGAAAACAAATAATTTTTATCAGATTTTTTAAAAGGCAGTATTTACTTCTTCAGATTAAAGAATATAATTATTTCAATACTAAAACAGAAGCAACAATGATTCTGAACATATTTAAAAGTCAATATTCAAAATAACAATAATTGAACTTTTCTAATTTAGCAGACCTAACATTTTTTATATTTAGTATTGTACCCTAGGGAAAATTCAATTATCTGAAGTAATATCATAAAATTCCTCTAAAAAACTAAGGCACTAATTTTATAAATTTATAAAGTATTATTTGGAGATAGGGAGGAAAGATTATAAAGCCTTTTTTAAATCTTTTGATTATATTCATTTTTTTTTCATTTTTTCATGGTGACATTGGTTAACAAAATCCAATAAGTTTCAGCTGTACACTTTAACAAAAAGGCATATATAGATTTACACTGTGTGTTCACCTCCCATAGTTAGATTTCTTTCTGTCACCACATATTTGACCCCCTTTACCCAGTCTTCCTCCCCCCTCCTTTATATAGCCTTTTAAGATAGAAGATAGTTCAGAAATCAAATAATGATAAAAAATCAAAACACTGAATATTTTGTTCTGGACTTCATCATCACCATTACTTTTCACAGATCTTAAACATCAAATATGCATTTTTAAAAGATTTTTTACAAGGAAGAAATTGCAGCAGGCAGAAAATAAAACCCAATAAAAATTTAAAGAACATGTTTTGTCCAAAAAACATTTGTGGTTTAGTTATAGACAGCACAGAGTTAGGTCAAAATACAGAGTATAACATTGACCAAAGCAAATGATATTTCAGCTATTTCACCAAGGACAAAGCTCTTTGCCAACAAATCCTAGTAACTTGCCAAAATAATCTCAGAAGAATACATTCTTGTATAATACTCGAACATTTAAAAATTAATGTTTGTGTGTATTTTCCCTTATTCTTTGATTTATTTATAAAAATTGTTTTATCAACATGCCTTCCATATAACCGGTGCTTTAAAAAGTTTTTTTTTTAAATGAATAAATAAATAGCCCATGATAGTGTGGTAAACACATGACTTCAGAGAGGATATAGATATGAGTATCTCAAAAATAACCAAAAAATGTAATGTATAAAAGAATTGCTATCACTATAAAAACTTTCCTCATTTTGGATGGAAATCCAGTTTAAAAAAATTAAGTAATTTCTGTACACATGGCATCTTTTGTTGACCAATTGCGAGATAATGTTCCTTCAAGTAACTATTTATGCAAGACCTCACAGTCATCTTTCACATTAGGTATTAGTGGCTTCTAAAAAGTAGAAAATAAATGACATCTCCAAATCCTATCTTTTAAAAATTTCCCAGGAGCATTTCTCACTTGAGAGTAAAATGCTTTCAAAGAAGGGCTTTACAGAAGAGAGAGGAGAAAGAAGGAAGAGTGAACTGCAACAATTAGAAATGAAATTTCACTCTCCATTAATTAAGTCCTTTACAATTCGACAAACTCTGTGCTGTCTGGGCTATTGGTTGGTTCTTCAGTTTGTAATTGTTCTGTTGCTACGAGAGAAACCTCTCTGCCAAACAAAAGGATGCAGACAGTTGAACTTAATATCTGAGCTCCTGTTCTAGAGCTTCTCCGTTTGCTTGTTGTATCCCAAGATGCTGGAGGACAGTACAATAGTTCAAAGGGACAAGAGGAACTGGTGCAGGCGATGTGGGCGTGGGAGAAAATCTCTCCACGTAATTGCCATCAGGCCTTCAGCTTGAAGGGTCTACCCTGTTGCATACACCCACACTTTGAAGGAAACTACAAACAGATTCCATTACCCCAATCTAAATGCTCTATGATGATTCGAATACTTCATTTTATATGTGTACCTGGCATTTTCAGCCAAAACCTTTTGATATGGATTCAAAAGGGAAAACACAAAGACTATTTCATGCAATGTTATTTCTAGGCCAGGAAACACTATAACCCTGGAAGAAACTTCCTGTCATAATATATTCAACTAAATATTTTAAGAAGAGAGGGTTTCAGTTCATGGACGGTATTGTTTTGGTGTTAAAAACAGAGTACATTTTATATTTCTCCAAGTCCAAAGCATGGCCCCCTTCACTATCCAAGCCACACATGAAATTTCTGGATTTGATAGAAAAAATATATATATTTAAGCCATAAATGTTTAAAACTGGAAGACATTTAAATAATTCAAAGATTTGATTTATTAAGAAACTTCTATGAACAGAACATTGTATTAGAAATATAAAAGTAAATAGCAAAAAAAATAAAAAGAGTAGTCATTGCCCTCAGCAATCTATTCGAGGGATCTAAATATTAAAAAGAATTGAGTTATTTATGAAGCATCACAGTTTTTGACATCCATAAGGGTTACCCTTCATCTCTCAAAAATATTTAACTAATATTTTAAAATCAAAATCAATCTTTTAAAAATACTCTAGCATGTAAATTTCCCTATAAAATGAAGTAAAGTATAACTAAAAATTTCAAGTGATCTCTTTATATTTCTTGCCTAATTCTTGCTACCACGGTCCGAAAAATGCTATTTCCACTCACAGTTTCTATTGTTAGCTTCATTGAATTCTGCCTCAAACTATTTCCTAGTTCAATATTTAGTAAACTTTTTAACTTTCTCTTCATTTCTTTCTCCAGCTTTAGAAGTCGACTACCTCTCCCGACTCCTACATCCCTTTTTAAAAGAAAAAGCTTTATTTGTTTCATGAGTGATACTGTGTATTCAAACTTGATTTTAAAAACCCCAGAAGCCACATTGAAATGTAGAATCTAGGCAGAGAACAAAGCACATTCACTAGCTAAGTAAATAACATTCAGAAGTCAACCGTGGAGCATTTGGGATACAAATTTATGCCTCACCAAATTACGAATTACCATACAATGTAGTGTTTTGGGTCCCGCTCACCCAGCTGAAAGCAGGAAATTGGGTACGCGCATGCCCAGTGTGTATGGCCAAGACTGCAGGCCACAGGGGCACAAGCTGAGTCGAGCCTACATATGGGGTGCATTTGGCTCGCGCAGTGTTTGTTTTGATTTTGTTTTTAATTTTACGTGTTTGACAAAATGCAAATGTCAGCACGATTCACATAAAAATCAAGATTTCAGCCTGCATTTGAAAACCTGGATGCTCTGGTAACACCTGGTCCATGCCCTACATGGCAGCCGCTGGCTGGAGCTGAGCACAGCTTCCCGCACGCTTTCCCATTTACCGCAGTGGCCCCACCTGGTCCTCACGCTGCCTGGGCTCTGCCTCCAGTAGCAGCAGACACCGCTAGGCCTGGTATAAAATACTGGCCTGTCAGTTCCCCATGAATTAATTGCTCATTCAGCAAGTCGATGTTCCATGTTTTAGCTTTTAACGAATTAGACTTTTTTATTACATAAGTTGGTTTTGATGAGATGACCGTAGGCAAATTGATATTTGGTCAGTTGGTCTTAAAAGTGTGTCCGAATATACCCTTTGATTTACAGATTTGGCCATGGTCTCCCACAAGTGAGTAAGGTCACTTCAGCTCCAAAGACATTTTATTGGCTATGTTAAAGTTGGCAACGACTGAAGCGTGACCTCTTAGAGTCTATTCCTTTTCTCAAGAGCCTGCAAAATTCGAGTGGCCTGTGACCATCTTTTCCACTTATGTCTCTTCTCTCCAGTCGGATTGTTCAGCCGCCCAGGTCCCACTTCTAGGTGGGCCTTCCTTCATCTTTTTCTCATTCACACTCTCTCTCTAAACTCTTCCACATTCAGCCACAGTTATAAGTGGCCTAGGACATGCTCTTTCCAGGCATTGGGACATACATTCTTGGTGTTGGTCTTACTTGATGTGTTTCTTCTGCCCCTAGAAGACTAACATTAGAGTATAAGAGCTGAGAAGTCAGATGTGGGTTTGAAGAAAAAGAGGCAAAGCAGACCCTGGCCAGTTAAGATGGTGGCTCCTGGGTTTTCCTGCCATAGGGAAAAGGAGACCTTTATGTGATTCAGCCTAGTTCTTTGGAATATCACATTCAGATTTGGGGGCCAAAGCCACACTATAAATAAGTAGTAGCAGTAGCTATGATATCAACAACAAGTAGTTCTTGAGCACTTATAATATGTCAGGCTCTGTTCTAAGTATTTGTGTTAATTCATTTGTTCCACACAGAAATCTGCTGTGTATTCTTCTTCTTCATTTTATTTTAATCGCAGAAAGGTTAAATAACTTGCCAAGGTCATCTATCTAATTAGTGGTGGGAAGAGCATTTGAATACAGGAAATCTAACTCTAGAGGCCATGTTTGAGACCATTACATCATTAGTCCTTCAATAAACAAGGAGGCAACAGAGAAATTTAGCTTCTTATGCCTTTTATGTAGTAAGTTATGCATAACTTCCAACAACACAGTGGGGTAGAAACAATTATTACACATACTTTACAAGAGAGGAAATGGAAAAAAAAAAAAAGAATTATTTAGCTTTGGTGTTTTTCTTACTGTCCAGTGCATTTATATTCCTTTGGGAACTTGGAGGAAAAAATTACTATAACAGGGATAACTCAGGTATTCCTAGACTCTCACCTAGCAATAGCCCCCAAAGCATTATTAGCAATACTACTGCTAACTTTTCATACGTAAAAGGAGGTAGTACTCAACTGTACCTGTACTCAGGAACTATAAATAATAACTTGCCTACGTCTACTTTTGAAAAGAAATCTCTAAAAGTTTCTTATATATTTTTTGATGGTTAAAATGATTTCTTTCCCTCTCATAAAGAAACCAGAACAGGACTAGCTCCCAGATCAAGTCGGTCAAGCCCTTAGATAAGGAGGCCATGAGGCATCATTCTAGGAAAACAGGACATGGATGTGCCATTCTCCATCTCTAAATTACCAAAACATGAAAATCTATAGGTGTCTCTCCATAAACTGTGAAACAAAATGTCTGATGACACCACTCACTGTCATGTCTCCAAAATGTTGGCTCTGGAAGCAGT